AGTTACAAATGATTATCAATTGATTAAGAATTCTTTCAGTGCCTAAATAACATATTTAACTTTTACATATACAAGAGGAAATGCAGTCATTATAACTTTAAATTCTTTTTCCATTAAACTTATTTTAATGGAACTTATAGAGTTGTTGAAATGTAGACTGTGTTTGAAGAATATTCAATAGAAATCAGTTTGTCAACAAGTATCTTTGAGTACTCATTTTAAGTTAAACTAGACTCAAAAGAAAGGAAAAGGATTTGAATTTGGTTTTCACTTCTAAATTTCAAGACAGAGAGAGAGAGAGAGAGAGAGAGAGAGAGAGAGAGAGAGAGAGAGAGGGAGAGAGAGAAGGAATAAAATTGAAAATAAATGCTGAATTTTGTAGGACACAAATTTTACTTTTCAACATATATATCCTCTTGTAAATTTCCTTTCCCCTTGTAAATAAGAAATAAATAACATTTTAAAATAATCTTTGGATTGAAATAACTAGGCTTGGCATTTGCAGTTAATTATATATAAGACATTTTAATAATCTTTTAATGGAATCTATGTTACTAAGTGTGATGCATCAGACCCAGCCATGTCCAAGGGTCCAAGGGTTCTTTAGTCTTTTATGCCTGTACAAAAGACTGCAGGTACTCACAAATCAATACATAATGTATTTACAGTGGATAGAAACTGTAGGCTTCTCTTTGTACTTAGACATTCTGCTACCTACGACACTATTTAGTAAATTGCTCTATACATTTCTGAACAAACATAGAAAAAGAGATAGAAAACACAAGAATTCATTTTGGGGCACCTTTTTTCAGTTTTGAGAGAAGGAAAATTAAAACTATAAATAAAGCCTAGAGGATTTTTCTATAGTTTTTAAAGTAGCTAAATTAGTGTGCTCAGGATTAGCTTAACATGGATATGTGGAATTTAGCTAAAAGATAGGTATTATATTGTATTTTAGACAATTATTAGTTATCTGGATGTATTTCTCAAGAATCTGGCTTAGTGTAGCCGTGTCAAATGGATTTTACTAGTTGTTTGCTTGTTTTCAGATGACGATGGAGCTATTTATTTATTTTAAAACATTTCAAAGGGATTTATTTCATAATGCAGAATGATTTGAGGCCCTGAGGTTTAGTTCATTGAGCATACTATTTTTTTCCTCTAAATTCTCTTTGTAGTATTGTACAATTCAGCATTTGTTCAGGGCCAGAAAACCTCAAAGACTAGTGAGTTCACTGGATCCTTTAAACCTTTCTTTTCTATTGATTTTTGAAATACAGTAATATAAATTTTTAGAAAACAAAAGAAAACTCAAGATGACTTAGATTTTTTTTTTTCCTTTCAAAATATTTAGTGTTTATGAAATGTTTTGTCTTGAAGAAATTTTTTTGACTTTGCTGCCACCTCATGGCTAAGGCAGTAACTAAAAGTGATTTTTCCCCCCCCTAGAGGCTTATCAAACTATAATACAAAAAAAAAAAAAAAAAAAAAAAAAAAAAAAAAAGCAATACAGGGAAATCATAGCACGAAAAATTCCATCTCGGATTCAGATTCATCCATTACATTTCCTTGTTTTCTTGTTTCCTTTTGCATCTTTCTTGGTAATTTTGGACTAATTTTTCAAAATGCTTATTCTGTTATGCTCTATTATAATTCACACCACAGGAGTGGTGCTTGTGCCCCAGGCCCCCTGGCACTCAGCAGTAGACATACTGTGGTACATTGCTTAACCTCTTCATGCCTCAGCTTCCTCAGATCTCACGTATAAACGACAACATCTATGTGATGGGGTTGGGGTGAAAATTAATTAAAATGGCATATTTAAAGTTTTTTCATGTCCCTGTTGTTAGTAACTATATATTATTAATTATACCACATTTTAAATAAATCTGTCGTTAGGAACTTAGTAGATGCTAAGTTTAATACTATCAAAGTAGAATTTTGAAAGCAAGCATAATATCTGCTAAGTCTTTGTGAGACCCTTAGGTGGACAGCCTAGGTGTCTCGTCTGCAGCAGATCACGTGTTAGTTTTCTGGGAGAGAAGTTCTGAGCTTTTTCTTATCACCTCTGTTTGTTTCACTTCCTGTGCAGGAGTGCAGATCACTGCACGGGGAGTATGTTGGGCGAGCCTGTGGCCATGGGCACCCTTACGTCCCAGATGTTCTCTTTTGGTCGGTGATTCTGTTCTTTTCCACAGTTACCATGTCAGCTACCCTGAAGCAGTTCAAGACCAGCCGATATTTCCCAACAAAGGTACTCTAATTTTCAGAACTAAATATAAACTAACATATAGCTGTTATAGAGTCCTCCGTGCTTAAAGACAAAGGAAAGTTACTGATGGAATGAAAGGAACTAAGGAAGGGTTTTCCTGTGAGGGACCTGCTAGGTTAGAGGCTGAAGGGGAAACATTTCGTGATGAAGGTGGCAGAGAGCGCATAAGCCCTTCAGGTTTTCTTTCTAACTGAAAACCTAACTGAAAGGGTCAGCGCCTTCCTTCCCACTTACAGTTTTGGATTCAAGCATACACCGAATTACTGATTGCCACGTTCTTTCTGAGTCAGCAGTGGCAACTGTTCCAGCCTGACACCTACCTCAGAGGAACCACTGTTACATTCTACTTGGGCAAACCCTGCAACACTCATTGGAAGGAACAGTATTCTGCTTCTGTTTTGAAAGTGTCAGTCCTTCTAACCCACCATGCTTCCATCTGCATATTTGCAAAGTAAACAGAGAATCAGTTCAATTCAATATTTAACACTGCAAAATATTACCTATAATGTCTGATTCATCAGAAAGAAAGGAAGAAAGGTATGAAGAGAGGGAGGGAGGGAGAAAGGAAAGAAGGAAAGGGAAGGAAAAGAAAAGAATAGAAAAGAAACAAGGAAACAAGTTTTTTAAGGTTGAGCTATAGAACTTGATAAAAATTCTACTTGGGGAATATTGTAATAGTTTCCTCCATGGAAAGTTGCTTTTTCTATCACCTTCTCCTGCCCTAAGATAAAAGAGTTGTTTCTTCCACCAACTAGTTTAATCTTATTTATAATTATTTCTTGTATGTTGAAACAATTATCTTAAGCACTCTGTGTGTGTTTATGTGCATGCTGCAAAGGTATCCCAATAGGCGGTGAATCTTTTTGATAATTGTATAAGGATTATTAGTAATAAACTGCCCTGTGAGAGGCTGGAGAGATGGCTCATTCAGTAAAGTACTTGCCTCACAAACATGAAGACCCAGGTTTAGATCACCAGAACTCATGTAAAAAAAGTTGGTTGTGATGGTGAACTCCTGTAATCCCAGTGATGGTGAGATGGGTGAGAGAGATTAGTGGATCCAGGAAGTTCCTGTGCCTTTAGTCTGGACTGCTTGGTGAAGTTCAGGACAAGAAAAGACACTGTTTCAAACAAAAGGTGGAACAGACCTAAGGACCAACATCTGTGGAGGTTGTCCTCAGACCTCCACATGTGTGCCACATACTGGTACACCCACACGTGTACCCTGCACACAAGAGCCTTATAAGATGAAAAATGGTTTGGAAAGTGGTTTATGTAGAATATATTTTAAATTGAAGAAATTTTTAACCTTGCCTTCACTCTTGTATATATTACCAACTGTCATATTTGTATCTTAACTAAAGTAACAAAGCATTATGCTTCTTTAATAAAAAAAAAGGTAATTTAATTTTATGGTGATTTTGATTTTTCATATTAAAATGCTACTTGTCTGAAAAGGAGTCCTAAAATTCACCAAATTCTGGTCATGTGACCTTATTCTATGTTTTAAATTTTCACACACTTGAGTTCATAATAAATTGATATTTTAATTAATATTGAAAACAACCATTTTGTGGTTCCATAAATCTTCAATCTGAAAAGTATGGATCAGAGACATATTCAGGTCTGATAGAGCTAGTGATAATATTATAAGGTATGTATAAAATATACATCATGATACTCTCATAGTGTTTATAAAGTATGACTATAGATTGTGTACTTAAGTATTCCTTTATCTTTGTGGCTTCTTCAAATAACCAGCATTTTCATTATTTTTAGGTTCGATCCATAGTGAGTGATTTTGCTGTTTTTCTTACAATTCTGTGTATGGTTTTGATTGACTATGCCATTGGGATCCCATCACCAAAACTACAAGTACCAAGTGTATTCAAGGTGAATTTATCCCAACATTTAACATTTATCTACTTTTCTATATCTCAGGATCTAAATCTTCATTTAAATAGCATCTGTAACCCTAATATTTGGGATCATGAAAATACAAACAATATACATTAACTGAATGGAAAATAAGGTACACAGAGTACAAATTTAATTTTAGTCTAATATTAAAAAATCAAGAATCATGAAATCAAACTTGAAGATTGCTTAAAAAATTTTGTCAACTATTCTAGTTGAAATATCTACACACAAGACAACAGACATGAAAACAAGGGAGCATTCTACAAATAACAGTTATCTTGAGGTGGAATTGCACAGTGGATAAATTTGAAAAACTGATAAAATATAGGTTTGGAAAGCGAATCCAGATTATGTGACAAAGGCAGTGTGTGAGCTTGAACCAGTGACTTGCTCTCTCTGAGCCTCAAGATTTTCTCATCTCTCAAACAGAGCTAGGGACTTAATGGTAGGATTGTTTGTTGTCAGAATGAATTCCTTTGGAACTCATCTCAGACATCAGTAATGTTTGCAAACTTTTTCTGGGACTCAGATGTAACTAAATTCTTTTTTAAATTTTCATACATTAGCCTGTGCACACATCTACAGTAAGTTACTGTATTATATTGAAACATTCTGTTTACATGTCTATGATTCTAAATGTATGCACATTTAAATTTTTTTCTTAGCCTACCAGGGATGACCGTGGCTGGTTTGTCACACCTTTAGGTCCAAATCCATGGTGGACCATTATAGCTGCTATCATTCCAGCTCTGCTGTGTACTATTCTTATTTTCATGGACCAACAGATTACAGCTGTCATCATCAACAGGAAAGAGCATAAGCTAAAGGTATGTGTTAACATATACTTTAATATAAAATCTTAATCAGTAGTGATTGATATTTAATAGACTATACATGTATTGTGTATTCATCTGTACAGTGAAAAACTAATATAATGTTTGGGGTTCATTATTTGCTGTTGCTGTTTTCCAGGACACTTTGTCTTACAGTGACTGCACGCCTTTAATCCCAGTACTCGGGAGGCAGAGGCAGGTGGATCTCTGTGAGTTCAAAGCCAGCCTGGTGTCCATAGCGAATCCTGGCCAGCTGGGGCTGTAGGGAGACCCTGTCTCAAAAAAAAATTGTTTGTACCACTTAGCTATTATCTAGAGTCTGAGACCTTCCTTTTAAGACTTAAAATTTTAAAAATGTCAAGGTTCTAACTTGGGATGCTTAACATAGATGAAGTATTCAGTTCTGGTGAAGTACAGTTTACCTCCCAACTTGTCTTACATCTGTATTTCTTCATGTGACTCTAAGTATATTCATTATTAGAAGGGACTGCATCTTCAGACATTTTTGAATGAATCATATTTTTTGAATTATTACTCTGTACTGCCTATAAACACTTTATATTTATAAATATATTTTATA